GCCTGTCCAAGGTCAAAGAAACTAATGATTTTGGCTATCTGTTCAGGATTCAATGTGAAGTATATAGAAGAGTTACTCTGGTCTGCTGTATAGTCTGTTGACTGGGACTTATCAGACAAGTGAGTGCTCTTATTTGCTCCTTTGGTGATCTTATTGAGTAACTTCCTTGCTCTATTTTGTTTCTTTTTTCTCACTGTAAAATGCTCCTCTGAGAAGGGGTTTGAAGTCTTGTTAAAACTACTATGCAAAAGCTAGGTTACTGTAAATCTACGAATAAATGCACATTGATAGTTTTTATTCTCTTTTGGACTTTTAAAAGAATTTTGCTGTCTATAAAATTCAAACTGCTAAGCTGATTGCTGTTTGTTTACTGGAGCTCTAAGTTTTTCCTGTGTCATCTGTTTAGTCACGCAAAGCAAGTGACTTTTCAGAGTTTTTGTTTGTTTGTTTTTTTTAAATAAACATATTTTTACTTTTACAGTTTGACTATTGTTCGTGATCATCCAATGGATTATTTTTGTTATTGTTTCTAATAGAAAATTAAATAAGGAAGAGGCTCTCCAGAGATATACCTGCATTAAAAATTAGTTTTCACAGAATCACAAAGCGTAGTTGAGATTGGAAAAGACCCCTGGAGATCATTTTGACCAGCCTCTCTGCTCAAAGCAGGGTCAACTGCAGCAGGTTGCTCCAGACATCATCCAGTTGAGTTTTGAATATCTCCAAGGATATTCAATTCCCCAACGTCTTGGAGTAACTTGTTCCAGGCTTTGACCATTCTTACTGTAAAAAGAAATTGGATTTCTTGTAATCCAGTTTGTGCCCATCACCTCTTGTCTGTTCACTGGATGACACTGAGAAGAACGTGGCTCCCTCTTTTTTACCACGTATTTAATTTAATTTTATTAGAATTATTTTGCTATTTAAAAAGCATATTCTCCAAAGATGATGATATCAATAAGGTGAAGAAATTAAGAGGAATTTTACTGCCTTGAAAGGTCTTAATTTCTCCAGCAGACTTTCCAAATTGTGACAGTTTACTTTTTCTCCTCTATTTGAGTTATTCTCTTGTTTCCATTTTGCCTAGTTGACATGTGTGTCAATCATTATTCTGTAAGAGAAATACTAGATCAAAAAACCATTTTCTTCTTCTCTTGAGAAGCGTGATTTAACTGTTTTGTTCAAATCCTGGCTTTGGTCATTCCTTCCTTCTACTGTCATCCTCCCTGCCCAGTATGTACAGTCAACTATCTACAGATCATATACCTTTTTTCATCTTTTCTTTATTGTTCGTAAAAAAATTCTTCTGAAATAATTTTCTCATGGAAAAAAGATGATTTGAGAAAATGGAAACATCTATTGGAAAGTTTCTGTTCCGTTGAAACTAACAGGAGCTATATTAGCTGTTTTGTTGGCTTGCACCTGAATGGCTGCCAAGAAACTAACTGATGTGATCTGTAGGTGAGAATGTCATGAATGAGTGAGCTGCCTACCTGCTCAGTTTACAGCAAGACATTTCTTATTTTTTCTGGAATTCCCTACTGAGCAGGAACTCTAAATTACAAGTTCAGTATGCAGTGTAGTTTTATGTACTTCAATTTGCATATGATAGTATTTATATGAAATTTTCAATGCAAAAGCACAAGGTTTTTAAAGGTTTCTGTAACTTAGATAATTTTGTTAGTGAGAAGTAATATACATAAAATGACCACAGCTAATTTATTGAGTATGTGCCTTCACTATCTGCCACTGTGATTAACAGTGTTGCTTTTGACATATGGTATTAAAACTTAAAAATATGTGTTGGAGGCCTTGTATCATCTTAATGCTTATCTGCCTGTTGTTTTGTTATCTGTTCCTTGGACAGTCTGCCTCTTGGTCTTGTCCCTCCTCCAGGCTAATGAGTACAATTGTTAACATCTTTCATCTGGGCCAGGTTCTTGACACTTTTCTCACTAAGTTCACAAGGACTCTGTTTTATACTTTATTGCTCATCTCATTCCTGGTGTGGCATGCTATCTTTTTATAAATCATTATAATCATTATAAATCTAGGATGCTTCATTCATTTGAAGGGCAGCAGGTTTTGTGTACTAGCACTCCTGAAACTCTGTATCATCTTGTATATTGTGTTGTCAGAATGCCTCACCTTTAGCATATACCTTGATGTATACTCAGTTTATAAGTAAGTTATAAAGGTAGTATACATTTATAAGGGGTTTCCTTCTTTTCATTCGCAATCTTTATGCTGCTTGGGACCATTTGCACCTGTATCCTTCCTACAGTCTCTTCCTGATCAGGCTTTCCAGATACATGTCCACATTTATGTGCCTAGGACGTCATTTTTTGTCCTGTGTAACTATGTATGTAACATTTTTTTTGCTTTTTTTCTGTATTTCTTCTACTGACTTTTGTCTGTGAACCTTTCTTTCTCCTTGTTCAGCTGATCATCACTAACTTTTAAAGTGTTTTTCAGCAGCACTAGGAGCTCCTTAATCTCAGAAATAGCCCTGAGTGAAGCTTAGTTAAATCTGTTGTTGTGGTTGATGAAGCAGTTGTCATGACCTTCTTGTCTTTTTCTCTGTGAATAGTCTTGTGTACAGGATCTGCTGTGTCATTTGTAAAGATTGCTCCTCTTTTATCTGAACTTTGAATCATTTAAGCAGAACTGTGAGGAGGAATTTCTTATTGTCACCTGTCTGAGTAATCGTTTCAAAGTTCACACATCTCTTTAGGTCACCTTTTTTTGTCGTGTCTTTCCTCAGTGCCAGAAATCTTTTTTCAAATACTGCTATACAGTACCTGCAGCTCCCGAATTAGCTCCCTCCTTCTGCTGTAGTCTGTTACCTCCATTAAAAAAAAAAAAAATTCAGTCCACTATATTAGTGATGCTGATTTGCTTTTTGAGATCTGTGGCAATGTAATAAATGGAACCATATAGGACTTTTTTAAAGAAGAATATTTGTTCAAACCATTCCTTTGGTCAGTGCGCAGCATCCTTACAGCTTTTGTGGGTCTTCACCAAGCTCTTTGAAATGTTGTTTTATCTCATAGGAAAAGAACAAGTTCAGATATACATACATATATATATATATATCTAATCCTACTGCAAATTCCTACTGAGGGATGTGAACATCTTTTGTTCAAACACCAGCAGTTCAAATTAATTGGTAACACAGTGTACCACTGCATAGGAGTAACTTTAAATTACAAATCAAGAAATGTTTACCTGTGTCAAATGAAAAATAGCTGAAAATCTTGCAGAAATTTCAAGTGTACTCTTGAAGACAGGTCAGATGGTTTGGTCGGTCATTTACTGTGTAATCTCTCTGAGTAATGAGGAGGTTTTTCATGTGATCCTGGACTCTGTTGTTTACCGTCAACAGCAGGTATGTAGACAGCATTATAACCTCTCAAGCCTTTGTTTTGCTAGACCAAATCAACTGTCATTGCACTGATCATCTGTATTTTGCATCCCTGCCAGTTTGAGCTCATCTTTCTTGACAATTATGATGATAATAGCATGCAGTTTGCATTTCTATTTAGATCCCGTGAGCTCCTTGTACAATAAGTCTGAAATTTATGGATGGTTGATCCAAACTTCTTATATTAGGCAGTTTCCTTATCTTCTGGCCTCTTTTCCCGGGGCTCAATATTCCATGCCAAGCAAAACTTCGCCAAATGTGCTGAGCCTGCAGCTTCCTTTTTTTTTTTTTTTTTTTTTAACCAGATAAGACTGAATTTGGGGTAAACCCCAGAATATTACATTGCAGTACGCAGAAGGCAACTACCAACTGTACAAACACCATGCAGGTGGGATGCAGAGTGTGTGTGCTTCTGGTATGTCCTAGCAAAGACTAAATATCATTCTTGGAACTAGAAGCAGTTTTTTCTACCCAGGATAAACTGTCTTGAGCTAGTCTGTGAAGCCAATAAGCTGGAATTTGTTCTGTGATTTGGTTTGCTGCTCTAGATAAAGTTTGAGATCTGGTAGGATTTGTTTACAGTCAATATTTAAGCAAATCATTCTTTACTTATCAAAATAAATGGCATTGTGGTTTGAGTTATGTGGTTCATGAAGACTGGAAAATCTGTTTTGCATCCCCTTAAAAGAGCTCAAAGTACTCCCCTATGGGATTTGATTTTAGCAAAGGTGCCCAAGAGGATGCTATACACACATTGTCCCTTTTCTTTGGGCTCTGATGACTATGAATTTTCTCAGGACTTAAATTACTTTGCTATTACGAGAGTATGTGCTCTCTTGTGCACAGGCTGAATGAATTCCCAATAGACTGAGTGTGTGGAAAAATCACATTTTAGTTCTGTGAACTGTTTCTTAAGAAAACAATATAATATCCTTTCTGTTCAGTTTTTTATAATAGAATGCTGCAGTATGAATTAGAAGAGCCATGTAATTAAAGGTTTTCTGCTTGAAGTAATCCAGTTGAGAGTCTTTTTGGTGTCATCTTCATGGCTGGGTTTAGTTTTCAGTGAAATAGTCTCCTTATCTTTGTTGTTTTAGTTTAAATATAGTTGTCTGGTATTAGTGTCTGATACTGAGGTGGTTAATGTAGTATTAGATAAATGTGAAGATTTAAATCAGATTGTTCAGTTATGAAATATTATGCAGCACAGAAGTATGCAGTTCAGATGTTATCTCTCTGTAATCCATTATTTGCTCTTCTCTCCCTTCTGTTTTACAGGAAGACATCTACATGTATGGAGGCAAAATTGAAACAAATAATGGAAACGTTACTGATGAGTTGTGGATTTTCAACATACACAGTCAAACATGGAGTACCAGAACTCCTGCAGTCCTTGTACATGGCCAGCAATATGCTGTGGAAGGTCATTCAGCACACATAGTAGAGCTGGACAGCAGAGATGTGGTTATGATTATAATTTTTGGATATTCTGCCATATATGGTTACACAAGCATCGTACAAGAATACTACATCAGTAAGTCACTTTCAAATAGTTTTTATCAAGTATTGATAAAAACAATGTTTTACTTTTTTTTTAAAGTGAAGAACACTCCTGTTTGTAAAATCTCATATTTTTTCCTTCAAATTATGTACATCAGATTTCTTGTTAAGCTGTAGCATTTCATACATGTTTGGAGTCTAATGGCTTTGGCTAGGTGTTATTGTGTACCTGGCCATGGTACTCTGAGGGGGGTAAAGGCTGAAACCAGAAATCCCACACAGTGGTTATTGTTGTGTTGAAACTTACTTTTTTTTTACCACAGACTTACTGTTTTATTATAGAGTAGACAGAGTGCAACAGAGTAAGTAGAGCAAAAAAAGAAAGGGCAAAGCAAAATACAATGTGAACTGGCAGGCTTTCTGAGGAGTGATTTTAAATGCTAGAATTAAATAAACCAAGAGAGTTTTTTGTCTTATAGATGGTACATCTAAGATTTTATTTCAATAGAATAAACATGAAAATCTACACTTTCTGATACGTTTTTAGGAATATGCATATGCCCACTAATACATATTATAATCTTCTCTTGGTTTTTTTGATTCCTTGTTTTCTATAGAATTGAGTCCCATGGTTATTTAAGCAACCACAGAATGCAGAATACAAAATTTCAAAGTAATATTTGTATGTTAAGGCATAATAAATTGTTTAATTTTACTTTTTTTTTTTTTGCATGTATGCGTATGTGTATAAACACTGTTTAAGCAGATGTATGGAGTGGGGAAATTCCTTCAAAATTTAGAGGGTTCTTATGTTTCCTGATGGTTGTGTTGAAATTTTATGATGATGTTGAACATCGTCATAAAAAAGGATGATGATAAAAGAGGAATAAATGGAAGAGTACCATGATGTGCTTTATCCACACTGAAAATGTGATGAACTGCATAAAACTATTATAAAACTCTGGTCTTAGACTGAGGTTTCACAAACAGTATTGTAAGAATTTTTCAGTATTAAAGGCCAATATTTTTTAAAAACTTGATTTCTGAAAGTTTTTTTTAACCTACGAGAGAGAAATTTTTTTCTTGAAGATAAAAATATGTTTTAGTTTTCTGCATGCTCATTGACTTTAAGGACTATTGAAACTTTGCATTATTTGCTTCTTCATGTGCTGCTTACTTAGTCTCGAGTAGAAGTACCAGTATTATTCTCACCTATTATTGTGGTTAGTTCAATTGTGAAGACGGAAATGAAAAGGACAAGGAGTACACCATTGACTTTGTAGTGTAAAATTTTCAGTCTGGTGGATTTTATTGCTGAACTTATGGTTGAAATGTACACTTTGTTCTTTGGTTTTTAATGTTAAAGCTATGTTTGTGGAGGGCTAATAAAACAGACTATAACTAAGCATATATAAAACAGACAAAACCCCCAAACCTTTCAAACTGTGGTGATAAGCTTTGAGTAGGAGAAAGCACTTATTTCCCTGGCTGTTATTATGGGTCTGAATTATTAAGTTTTTATGGCTTCTTCCTGAGATAAGATACTATTGAGAAGTTTAATTTGTTAGGGAAAGTACGCTTCACTTACATTAAATATAAAGTAAACTTGTAACAATATAGGGTATTACTGTGGAAACCCATTGATTTCAGTGAGTTCACTCACGTGATGAAGGATCACATGCAGTGCTTTGCAGAACATGGTCTATATGCTGTAACTGAGTCATTTCTGCTGTGGATAGTTCTCATGTTTTGTTTTACCTCGTTGCATCTCTCTCCTTCCGCTCCCCACTAAGTTAAATGAGTTTTGTGGCAATTTTTCCTGAATTCTGTCCCAGCTGTAGCATTTATCTGCAGTTCTGCAGCTGTAGGATCATTTTTAACCATAAAATTCCAGATGGCAGTTGGAACTAAGAATGACTAGGTTTTTTTGGGACATTAGCAGCTCAGAATCCAAACTTAAAAGACATAGGAAGTGGTAGAAATATTTCTGTGAACCTACATGAATAGGAAAGAAAATTTGTTATGAAGGAAGACTTCTGACATTATGGAAAATAAAATTAGAGTCCCATTTTCTTTCTCTCTGCTTGCTTTTAAAACATACATTGCCTTAACTTTTCCTATTGTGGTGCTTTATTTTTTCTAAATGTTATCAGCCATGGCTTTTAGTTCTAATGAAGGTTATTTTTCAAGCATTTACCAGATGCCTACTGAAAGAAAGAGGCATAGAAAGAGGCAACTTACCTCTTTGGTTCATGTGAATTGAGAGGTCTAGTGATCCAGTCCTGTTAATGAACTTTGATTAACTTGGAATTCTGGTGCTAAAGCCTTCTTTAGTTACTGTGACCCTGATTTCTATGGAGTCTGGGTCAAGAAACATCTTAACAAGTTTGAATTATTTGTGGATTCTCTGTCTTTTCACATAGGTATGTAGTTATTATTAACAAAATGCTAATCAAACGTGTGTGGTCTGAAAATTTCTCTGACGTTGTCTGATTAGTGAAAAAAGTAAAAATCTAATAAGTTCTGGAAAAATTGGATGCGGTTTGCACACAGATTTTCACTGTGCAAAAGCACAGGAATTAATTCCTACTCCAAAAGTACGGTGATTGTTGCAGGAACAAAAAGAGCTACCTGTTGTCCTTTCTTGCTATACCTAGGCTTACGGCTTTTGAGGAACCAATAAATCCTGGTATGGGAATTAATGTGAATAATTTTACTAACTTGAACCATAAAGCTTTTCTGGGTTACTCCCCAGGGAAATTTATTTCCCTTTAGGTTAGCAATACCTCATAAACCTTCTAAGAATCTCAGTGTGAGTCTCAAGGTGAATATAATAATGGTGTTTTGTTTTAGCTAAGGTTTATAAAAGCTCCATATAT